TTTGTACAGCATCAATAAGGGACAAATATGACTAACTGGTGCAAGTTTGGTGCATGTACTGTAGGATTTTCCCAGCCAGATTAGACAGGGGGGGCATTCTGTGGCAGGGTGGCCTGCTAAGAAATATCCCCCCTCCCCGATACAATCTCGGCCTTATGTCCCAACCCGAAGTAATTTGTACAGCATCAATAAGGGACAAATATGACTAACTGGTGCAAGTTTGGTGCATGTACTGTAGGATTTTCCCAGCCAGAGTTGGGGGAGCTTCTGGCTGGGCGACTTGCAAAAGGACTTGTTAGCTATAATGTACACACAGGGTTTAGAGTGAGTGGTGAAATTTTGGTGACTTTTGATTTCTTTTGGTCTGTGGTTCGATGTCAGATCATTTCCAGGGGTGACGGTGCTGAGTATGAAGTTAAATGCCGCATTATATTATAATAGGACAGAATACAAGAAAAAAATCAGCAGAATGGATTCAACAACATATCAAAAATGTCTTTCAAGTAAATCAGTCCCTTCTTGCACAGACGAGCATTGTCAAGAAGAATAGCATTACTGTAGCGCAGTGGTTCCCAAACTGGGGGGCGCGCCCCCTAATGGGATAGCCTCAGGGGCATGTGCCACCCTAAAAAATCTCTTCACAGACTGGACGATTAAACAAATAAAGCAGCCCTACATTACAGTAACTAACAATCCGTGGCAGGGGGGCAGTTTAGTGCAATTCGAGGTTTTACTGTACTGGATAAAGTTAGCCACACCTAACATTAACCACGAAATTGTAAATTACGTTGTCTTAATGCTCATTTATCCAACATTGTAGAATTAGAGAGAAATACCTGTAAACATGATTTTTTTTCAGGGTGGCGGGATTTAAGGATTAGTTACATATAATATTGGAGCATGTGATCTCCGCTTCCTGGGTTTTGCAAGCCTCTCCCCGTTCCTGGTTTTTATTGAACCAAACAAGAAACTTCCCAGGTGTGGTCTTTGTAAAAATGTGCAAATGCAGTATTTGAATATAATTACCTCCATTTTTGCAGTCTTTAGTTAGTTAAATTTCTCCTGTTAACTTCAGAGAACCGTTTTTTCTCCTCATCATACATTTCTACTCCATTTCCTGATCGACTGAGTCATCCCGTGCAGCACAGCAAACCATGGTGGCACAGACAAACTGTTTGGGATATGCTGTTCATGTTTGACTCTATTATTGATTACGTCATTAAGATTATTTAGTTATCAATTATTTAGATTATTCAGTTAGCACGGGATTACTGAAAACGTCATAAATTAAAGAAATGTTACAACATTAATCTGATCTGAATTTTGAAACGTTTCTTCCTAATCTAAAATTATCCATAAACATTAGGATAGGATTGCTCTTGACTACCATACAAGTTTAAGAACATAAAAAAGAATTCAAAGAAATAAACAGCAGCAGCATGCCCTTTAACCCCAGGTAAGCCTAAAATATACAAGGCAGGTAACCCTAGCCGTTAATAACTGATAAAGTTGACATTTTTAATAACTACCTTAAATGTTCCACCAAACATGCACTGCTCCTTATATCATCCCGATCTTGAGGACTCCTCCATACACTAGGAGGTAGGGGAGAAGCCTGTATGCACACTGGTTGGGGTAACTCGTAGTTCTGCCTCATTGATGTTTCTTTCTGGTCCGACTCCATCCATTGGGCATATACTATATACCCTCCCACCTTACTCCCCCCCTAATGTTTTACTCTATAAACCACTGGGTCCCAAAAGTCCTGGATCTTATGACGGCCCAAAGGGTGGTTCCTTCTATGGACTAACGTGCCTGGAGCCAGCAGCTGGCTTGCTGAAGGGGCCACCTGTTGATTAAGGTGCTCTGCTGCCAAAGTCAATTGACCCTGTGCATGTGCATAGATCACCATAAGGTTATCCTGATGTTGCTTCACCCAATCATGAGTGTGCACCTGATCCATTTCCTCCTCCGCATGGCCCAGAAGAAAATCCACCGGCAGTCGCACCTTCTGCCCAAACATCAATTCAAAGTTCTGATTTAGCAGGCAATGAACTTTACTTCTAAAGACGACTGAATGGTCCAATAACTGGATCTGCCATCTGCAATGCTTGTATAAGTCAACCCTCTGCCGTATTGGTAAAACAGTGGTCTCTTG